CTCCAACTCCAGCTTCAGAGTCCTCCCCTGAGTCCTCAGCCAGGCTGGGCCTGACAGTGCACGTCTTTTAAACATATATTCCTATTGTAGAATTTGCTTGGCTTTTTTTTTTTTTAAATGTATTTTACAAGAACACTATCTGAAATAGAGACTCTTACAGAGACATTCTATGCATGTTTACTCAGCTGTAAGTGTCACTAGGTCCAATGATGTGTTGGGTTTTTAGCCTTCACTTCTGAGGGGGGTTGCAGACTGCCAGAAATAGTGCAAATTGAGTCCACTTTTAGGGTTAGGGTTAGGGCTAGGGAATCATGGGAACTGTAGTTTATTGTGGCACCAGAGTTCTCTGACAGAGAAGGCTCAATGTCTCAGAACAAAAACAATTCCCATGATTCCCTAGCACTAACCCTAACCCTAAAAGTGGACTCAATTTGCACTATTTCTGGCAGTCTGCAACCCCCCTGAGTTGCTTCCTTTGATACAAGAATGTGCACATTCAGGAAGAGGGGAGAGAAAGGTCCATAAGAGAAGCATCCTTCCATAGATGTATACAGGAAAGGACTTGACAAAAATAAAGCATTTTGAAACAAAAGGATAAGGTGGTCTTTTAGCTCAAAAGCAACCCATCTCCAGCTCTGTGACAAGCAAAGGCTTTTGTGCCCATCCTCTTTTAAAGAGACATGAAATGGGACTGGAATAGAACATAGATGACTTTGAACAATACTCTGTGCCACTCCAGGAGTTGAGGCTAAAGGGTGAAGGATACCGTATCCAATTGAAATTACAGAGGAATTTGAGATAGGAAGAATGTAATTACCCAATTTGAATCTAAACTGTGAAATTAAAAAGAAATATTCAAGGATGAAGGGGCAAAGAGAATCCTTAATCTCCACCCAGGCTAGGCTGTGTGCCAGAAAAGCAAAGAACCTGAACTGGAATAAAAGTGGAGAAAGAGAATAAAGGCAATGTTTTGAAAGGCACTCCAAATCCAGCTGTGATTTAGTTTGCAATCCATTCTCATCTTATGAAAGTGATTCTTGTGTCCTTCAACAGTTTAAAAATAATTTGGTTTACAGATGAACATCAAGTCAATGCATTTCTAGAATCTCAAAGTTCTTTCAAAAATATTGAGTGTGTAGATGTGTCAGTATTGTTTTATTAATATCTTACAAGTACTAGTCTTCCCCACCCTGCAGCTAATTCTGGGCAGTTTTAAGGCTTCTAGTAAAATCCTTGCATGTTTGCATAGAAAATCAAATAAATCTCCTAATTTTGCAATTGTCCCCTCCCCCTTTTATTTTAATCAGATAATCAGATGTGTTGTCTATACAAGCAAAGGTTTTGAAATAAGTTACCACATGTTATAGAAACAACTGATATATTCCAAAATATGTGAATTGCATATAGAAAATGTGATTTTAATGTCTATTGAATGGTGATTTAAATGGATTGAAACCTAGAGTCTTCCCTAGAGAGAAGTATAGGAGAATGTGCATCCTATTGTCTGCTATTGTAAAGGCAGAATGCTAATTATACCCTATTAGCATGACAAGAACAAAATGTCAGAATGGTAAGATTATTGGCAGGAAGATCAAAATGTGATGACTGTAAGAAGTGTGATAACACAGAGAGAGAAGAAATGTTACTGAGAACAGAGGAAATTTGGAACAAAATATGAAATAAAATTATACCATAAGAGCCCAAGAACTAGCCGATCAGTCCTGCCTCCCTGATACAGTACAGGCTTAAACTTCTCCTTACACTGTCAATACAGTAGACATTATTGGCTGATTCTTCTAAGAATAATCAGACACATAGCAGTGGTTAACCATTTGTGCAGATACGTATTTTCAGGACCAACCAGATTACAAATCCTCTTGGCAAAAAAAAAAAAAAGACATCAAGGCCTCTTTATATTTGTTGTTTTGAGTTAGTTACTGAACCTCCTTTTACATTTTATCCAGCATACCTTCATCCCAGGCACCTCTGGTGAGGACATGGGAGAGAGCCTTCTTGGTGGCTGCTCCCATTGTGGAACTCCCAATAATCTATTCAAGTCTTTTACTCCATGTCTCAAGTCAAGTTTCAAATCTCTGTCTTCAAGTCTCAAGTCCTTGCAAGATAATTTCAAGTCAAGTTTTGAGTCTCAAGAGCCTTTACAGACCGCCAGGAATAATGCAACTTGAGTCCACTTTAACTGCCCTGGCTCAGTGCTAGGGAATCATGGGAACTGTAGTTTATTGTGGCACCAGAGCTCTCTGACAGAGAAGGCTCAATGTCTCAGAAAAAAAATACAATTCCCATGATTCTTTAGCACTAAGCCAGGACAGTAAAGTGGACTCAAGTTGCATTATTCCTGGCAGTCTGTAAAGGCTCTCTCAAGTCTGGGAGCCAACCTTAACAGAAAAGTTGGTGGGGTGGAGTTTCAATAACTAGAAAATAAAGAGGTCATGGACAAAGTTAGGTAAAAAAAAATGTTGGAGGGGAGCAGCAAAGGTGTTAGACAACAGGCTTGAGACAAAAGTATCCTTCTAAAGCTTTTCAAAAAAAAAAAAAAAAGCTCCTTTGATGTGCAGAGTTGACAGGCAACTGAGTACACCTAACTCCTGCCTCCAGCCCATTTCCTAACATGCTTGCTGTTTATGGATGAAGTTAGCCCAGCAAGTCAGTCACTAAAAGTTTACAAGTCTTGAGTTGAGTATCAACTCAAGCATCACTTAAGGACGTTATCACACGGGGGCAAATCTGCTGGTTAATTTCAATTCGAATTTAAAAGGGGGTTAATTCGAACAAAAACCTGATCTTTTCAAATCCTCAAAAATCCCAAAAATGAAAAGATCAGGTTTTCGTTCGAATTAACCCCCTTTTAAATTTGAATTTAGTTATCAGACAAGGCGGAACGGGACAAATCCCGTAAATTAAAGTCTTCCGCTCGTCCGGTTTATTTCCACTTTCTCCCCGCGACTCCCCGTGTGATAACGTCCAATGAGAATAAGAGTACAATATCCCCCTTCTGCAGCAACAAACATAATGTTATGTTACAGTGAAAGATAATATGTATTTGAAAAAATTAAACATGCATACGCCTATGAATTCTCACATGCACACCCAAATAAGATAAACTATGTATGTCCAGCTTCTAATATTGAACCTATTACCTGCCATTTTCTGTTTGGTCATTCTTCTCCTTCCCTTCCATTGAATGGTGGGGCCTTGAACTTCAACTCCAGGATCCAGCCTTAGCTGTCCTACTGGCCATTCAATTGTCTAGTCCTGGTTGAACCATACAGGAGACAATTACTGATTGATACAGGTACCTTTTGATTAGTTCCAACATGCCAAAAAGTGCAAAGGAAGCCAGCTTCCTACATTTTCTAGTGTCAATGTATAACACTGGATTCGATTGTGAGACAGCCTGGGGCTTCTCTAGTCCCTGTGCTCCTGGAACAAGCAACTCGGTTTTTACACTGGAAATGAGGCAGCAGGGTGAAGTGGTGGGAGGATAAATGCCCCATGCTGTATGACTGAGACCAAGGAACTCCCTGTCTTTTGTCCCTGACAGTAGTAATAGTAGTAGTAGTTATTGTTGTTTTGTTTTCCTCCTCCTCTTGTTTTCTTTGCAAGACCCTTAAAGATTGAATAGGGTGACTGTCCCACCTTCTCCCCACCAGGGAATAAACACACATCTTCTGGTTTCCAACTTTCCATTGCCTTGTGGGGAAGGTTGCTGCTGTTAATATGTATGGCATCTCTTGTTTTGTGCCTTCTTGTCTTCTTCTCCTTAGTTGTTTGGTAAAGGGACCTTTGTCTCCTTTGACAGACCTTGATGCCTTGTTCTAGGCAGGGCTGTGTGTTATTTTTCCAACTTCTTACCTGTGTTTGGATGGAAAGACTCACTTTCCTCCCTTTGGCATGCCATGCCTAAGGGGATCCAAATCCTGCCTGGAGACTTGGAGTTGGGGACTGTTGCTAGATGTGCTACTGGGGTTCATGGAGTGGGGCTGTGATGTTCTTCTATGTGATGTGAGATTGGTAATGCAGGGAGGTTGCATGTCCCCATTGACTAACATTCACTGGCTCCCTCTGTGTTTGAACACTGAGACTGGAGGGCCCTTGTGGTGTTTCAAAGGATGCTGTGGTTTCAAAGGATGCTGTTTTGCACCATTTTGCATAATGTTTTCCATTCTCTGCATTTTGGGTTGGGCACATGCTTGATCTCTTTCATACTACACAATTTAGGCACTTTGATTCCACTTTAACTGACATTGCTCCATCTTGTAGAATCCAGGCAATGGCAGTTTTGTGACATATTTAGAATTCTCTGTCACAGAATTCTTATCAAACCTGTAGGATGCAGATTTGGCAGTGAAAGTGCTATAACTGTGGGAAAGACACTATCAAGAATCGCCTTTCCCCCCAGGAGTTGAGTGAACAAGTCTTTGGTGTTGCAATCAAAATTATTCCAGGAAAAGCCATTGGTGTTAGCAAGAAGACATCTGAGGACAGAAGTGCCATCATCCCCAAACATTGGCATAATATCAACATCACCCCATCCCTAAACATCATGGGCTTCATCTTAATTCATGAACTAATTATAACATACCAACACCCTCATTTACCAGCCCCCAATACCATCCTGATCTCATCTCTACTTTCTGTTTCCTACCAGCTACTCTATGAATATTTCTTCCCCACACTTCTGCACATTCCTGAAAAAAGCACCAAGCATCCTTCTGAATCACCACCAAGTATTTCCACTAGGACTACATCTCCCATCACTCTTCTGCATAACTAAAACACTACAATACCCAATGCTTATACACTGCAGCAACATCCATGCTATGACAGAATATGCCAGATTCTGACAAGCATCTTTGTTATTGTTGTGTGCCTTCAAGAAATTTCTGAATTATGGAGACCCCCCCCCCCCGGTGATCTTACACAGGGTTTTCTGGGGCTGAGAGTCTGTGATTTACCCAAGGTCACCCAGTGGGTTTCCATGGCAGAGAGGGGAATCAAACCCTGGTCTCTAGAGCATTAATCCAACACTCAAACCACTACACTTGCTCTGCCTAGACATAGAATATAGCATATAGGAGCTACTAATATTTGCTTATTTATTTACTATCCTGCTTTTCTCCCATAAGTGATCCAAAGCAGCTCATATCCTAAGTTCAAACAATACATCTAAAAACATTCTGAAATACAAAAATTAAAAGAGCAGTAAATACAAACCATGAGTTTAAAAACATGAGTTAACAATTAAGAAGCACATTACAACCTACCCATTATGCCACCCCAGATGGCAATGGCAAACCCCCTCTGAAGAAACTTGCCAAGAAACCCCCATGATAGGCTCACCTTAGACTCACCATTAGTTGGAAATGACTTTAAAACACATAACAACAACAAAGCCAGTTAAAACCTGATGGCCTGTTTAAATAGAACAGATCTGGTGAAAGCATATCTTTCCTTTCGTATAACTGGAATATAAGACTACGTCATAAAATGTGTATATACTGTGCTTTCAGGGGCAAGCAATTGGCTGTTACCTGATTTGCTCTGGTCGTTCTTTTTAAGAGAACAAAAAACAGATTTTCAAATATATTTTTCCTGGCATTCAAATTTAAATACATTAAATACACTAAATTTAAATGCATGATTTGGTGGTGGATTTTGTTGGAAGTGGACAATTATTTATTGAGTGTTCATTTTTTTTTATTAATACAGCAATTGGTTAGTGTTGTTAATAGCAATAGTTTAATTGACTTCTCAGTGAAAGCCAAGGATTGGACTTAAAACTCATTCAACCCAGAAAATTCAGTTGAAGTGTGCATCAGCCTTATAGATTTATGAAGTGGGATAGCCTTCTAATTCCTTACTATTTTATTTTATGTCAGTGAAGTTTAACTTGAAGTACAGGAACAGAGAATATCTATTTGATGCAAGCATCCCTAGAGCTTTGTACTGTCCACGAGTGTAGATATACTGTGATGAGTATCTTTAGAGAAGAGACAATTTATTTCCTGTAAGAGTTTTTCTCTAAAGATGTAATGGGCCACCATTCATGCTATCACCTCCATATGGTGCTGAATGTTCTATTATTTCTCTTTCCTATTCCTTTTATATTCATAGGGGATTAATTTCACATTGTACCCGGGGAGTACTTGTCTTGCATGTATTGTTATGGCTTGTATTTTTGTACAGGCCAGCATTATCACATGCTGCCTTCTCAAGAGCTATTTTTGGTTGACAATCGTATTTAAAAATGTATCTTAATACTCCTTATAAAGATATTTATATACAGCCATTAACAGCCATTTTAGTGCAGTCACTGTAGTAGCAGATCTGGATAATGGAAGCTTCACAGCTATAGAAATCTTTGAATGACTTTGGGTTAGTCTCTGGCTGGCATTTTGTTAGTGGCACACAGTGGTGTACAAGGTGCCTTTGTATCCAGCACCAGGGATGTGGCTGGATGTTTCTCTGTTGCTCCCTTCTCTGCACCAGACTCTACATGGCCATGTTTCACACACATCTCTGGGACTCAGGTGAGTTCTGCATGAAGGGAAAAGAAATAGGAAACAGAATGGAGCTCCACCTGGGCAGAACTTTACACCCCAACTCTCCATCCAGGATCTCACCCAGTGTCAGCTTAATGGCTCTCCCAAGGCTGTAGTGCTGATGAAATGCAGAATTAATGCAGTCTGACACCCTTTCAACTGTCATGGAATCCTGGGATTTGCAGTTTCTTGTGGCACCAGAGGTCTCTGACAGAAAAAGCTAAATATTTCACAAAGCCACAAATCCCATAATTCCTTAGCACAGAGCCGTGGCAGTTCAAGCAGTGTCAAAGTGCATTAATTCTGTGGTGCAGATACAGCCTTTGTCATAACAAATAGGGTCTGCAACAAAATGTTGCAGCATGGACTGGTCCTGTTCAGCCTGAGAACCATGTTCCTTTCCAAGATACTCTGTTCTGCTCCTGTCCTTGCCATGTTTCCAGATTTTCTCCTCAACGGATATCCAGTGTACAGTGGCTACTGAGTATGCTCAGCCTGTGCTAGCTGTTTTTGAATTTCCTCCTCTTTCTACTAGTTGTTTTACTTCAGCAACTCTGGGGTCCCCACAAGTATACTAATGCTTTCCTCTTAGTTGTGGATGGCACTTTTTTGTGACCTAGGGATCTGTACAAAGAGATAAATTTGCTACAAATACACTATATAGTATCTACCTTCTCTGCTGTAATACAATGATATATGAAATAGGTGGATGAAATTACTGTAGTCCAGGGAAAGCAAAGCACTGTCCATAGCCTGCATGCAACCTACAGGCCCCTCAAGGGGGCAAAAATCTGCCCCATCATGTTTTTGCCCTCTTTGGGCAATTTAGATGCTGGATAGGCTTTTTTTTTTTTTTTTAAGGAAGTGAACAGGAACTTCCTGTTGCCAAAAAAGGAAAAGTCTCTTCCTGTTGCCCCTTCCCTTTAGTTTTGGGGCAAAATGATGATGATGATGATGATGATGATGATGATGATGATGATGATGATGCAGGGAAGTGCAACCTTGCAAGGTGTCCTGGAGAGTTAAATGTGGACCCCAGCCTCCCACAGCTGTTCCCCTCCCGCTCTAATCTGTAGATCCATTACAGTAAATACTTTCACCACCCTCTCACAGTGTCATGTAAATGATTTCCTGCAAAGTATATATTCAAATAAACAAGGTGGAAATGCAGTCATTTCAGGATTGGGGTGGGGTGTGGATGGATGACTGCCATTCATATGCAAAGACATGGAAGACTGCATAGACTGAGTTTTGCTACTATCTAGGAATAGCATAAAAGCCAAGGACAGTGAGCATATGGGAATTTGATGGCTGGTACAGAGCACTTTAGGAGCCAGCATGACACAGTGGTTTGAACACTGGACTACAGCTCTGGAGTCCAGAGTTCACATCCCTATTGAGCCATGGAAACCCACTGGGTAACCTTGGAGAAGTCATACTCTCTCAGCCTCAGAGGAAGGCAAAGGCCCTCTGAACATATTTTTCTAAGAACACCCTATGTCAGGGTTGCCATAAATTGGAAACAATTTGAAGGGACACAACAACTCAAGAGCATTATGACTGACTGAAAACAAAAGCATTCAGGCACTGGAAGTAGCAGGTAGAATCAAGACTTAAATCAGACTGAAATCACCAACAAGTCCCACTGGTTTCAAAATGGATTGCTCTAAGTATTACTAAGTTTGGATTTAATCTAAAAGAGCATAGATTCTTTGAAGAAGAGTATTGCCTAAGCTTTGCATGTGTGAAGCAGAGACCCACTGCACCATATGAAAGCATCTTCTAATTTAGCATCTCAGTACTTTGAAGAAGTCCAGAAACAGAACATATTCTCCTTATTTTGGCCACCAAAACTTCATATTGAAAGACATACCCCTCTGAATAAGGGGTGCTGTTTATCTTAGTTAATAGCTTCTGAGAAACCTGTTCCATCAGTACAATTATCTAATTCATGGTTGTAGAACATGTGGATCTCAAGATGTTAAGACTCAAGACTTTATTACACGGCACTTACAGGAACAGGAACGGAACAGGACAAAAATGCATGTTACTGCACAGAAGAATGCCACTGATGCTGCCAGGAGTCCCCAAGCTGTTCCCCATCCATTCCTGGCAGCCAATTTTGAAGAACGATTTTGAAATTTTCTTCCAAAATCAGCTGCCAGGATCGGCTTGGGAACGGCTTGGCAACTCCCAGTGGCATCGGTGGCATTCTCCTGTGCTGTAACATGCATTTTTGTTCTGTTCCATTCCATTTCCTTCCATTCCTTTCCGTTCCCGTTCCTGTAAGTGCTGTGCGATAAGGTCTTCTGACTCCCATCAGTCCCTGCCACCAGACTAATTATAGTCCAGCCACATCTGGAAGGCCACAGGTTCCCCGTTTTTGATTAAGTCCCCTTGCAAAGTCATCTCTGCTAGTGATCATAACTCTGCTTTGCAGCAGAAAATCCCATGGATGGTTTAATAACAACACAACCACAACTTATACTACTACTATTATCACCTTTATTTCCTCAAAACTTGGATTTCTTGGTCAGTCCTGAATCCTGATTACACAGATCTCTACTACAAGACCAGGACTTGTTCTATTACTTCTCAAAAAACCCTCTGCCCACTAAGCAAGTGTGTGGGGAGGAGTATTTTGTCTTCAGAGTATTTTTAAAAAAGCCTTGGATATCTCTCACTAAAGTGGCAAGGGTGACAGGTGTACACAGGAGGAAAAGTAGTCATACAGCTTTTCACTACTGTGATGGTTTGATATAATCACCCACTTTCCCACCAAAGATATTGGTATATGAGAATTCATTTTCCAATCCAAGTCTGCCCACAGGAGAAAGCACAAACACACACACATACCGTTTTACTATTTCCTTAAAACTGCCCAGCAAACATTCTGGTTTAGAAGTGAAAGAACTCTGTATGTGTGTATCAGCTGAAAAAGGATTATGAATTCACAAACCTGTATGAGCGAGCTAATTCCATATTTTAGATACAAGTTACAGCTAAGAAATAATAGCTTGCAGCACTCCTGTTTATGTCCATATTGTAGATGAGGCAGGGGAGAGGGCCAGATTAAGAATGATAATGGCTTGTGAGGACCCTGTCCTATAGTCTATTATTATTAAACCCCTATTACAGGAGCATAAATAGGAGAGCAGAGTAGTGAAGCTGACAAACAGTGGCTTACACTGACCCTGTACTGTTATTACTTGCATGTATCAAATGGGCTGAGCAACCTTACACCTTAAACCGACAATATTGTCTCCACTTTACAAACTGGGGGGATGAAGTTTAAAAGGCCACCTTCTCCTATTTATCCTATTTACACCTATATATTTGTAAAATGCATTTGTAAAATCCATTGGAAACAGATGTATAAAATCTTGCAATAACATCAAACATGCACCCCCATTCTTATTCCATAAAAAGATTTGTTCAATATGAGCAAGCTTACTCCCTAGCAAAGTATGTACAAGGATTGCGCTCCAAAATAAATAAATAAATAAATAA